TCCACCCATTCTAACATTTTACTTTTTAGATACGAACTTATATGGGTTTTTTAAATATTTGGTACATATCTTGGTTAGTTCTTCTTTTATATTCACCATTCTCAATTACAGGGCCATAGATTCGGCGTAGAATATTTCTTTCATCGGTCATAAAAAGCTGGAATATAAATATTCTTTTGACTTCTTAGACAATAATTTTGATTTAAACAATTTCGAAAGTGCATAATATCCCTTGTTCCCTGATACAATTCTCAATTTTATTTCGTTGTGTATATTGTTACGGTTGCTTATATTAGTTCCTAGATACTTGAAATCTTTTACTTGTTAGAAAAAATATCCATCCACTAGCATATAATCCAGAGTTCTCTCTTCTCTTGATACTACTAGGTATTTGGTCTTTTAATGATTGACTTTTAATCCCGTCGGTTCCGCTGCTTTAATTAAGTCTGCGGCCCTCTTTTCCACATCAATTCGAGAACTACCAATTATTACAATATCATCTGCGTATGCTAACATAGTGTTCTGTCCCAGAATTTCCATATTTTGTCTAGCAGGAAGAGATCTTATTACTTTTTCTAAAGCCAAATTGAAAAGTACTGGAGAAAGCGCATCTCCCTGTCTTAGGCCAACCCTAACTATGTGGTTATTACCGTTTCGATTGATTTATTTTTGATTTCAATTTCCCGTGTGAAATGACTCCTAGCTATGATTCCATAAGTAATCATAACAAAATAATTCAACTTATCCACGGATGTAGTTTTGATGTTCATATGAACTTGATATTGCTATTGTCTTCCTACGTGGGAAGCGACAGCTCAGTGGTTTTTGGTTTCCTAACAGTATTTTTTTTACAAAGACGGGTTGTTGGCCTGTCGCTTAACCCTCAACCTGGAGGACTAGTTAGACCCTCCCAACCATTTAAAGTCAGCAGAGAATGGCTACTGCAATGCACCAAGTACATTTGGCGATAGGAGTGCCACTTTCCCAACGCTAGACTTCAGAAATGAATACACTACTTTTTCGGGATGAAAAAAATGGATGAAAGAAACCATTATTTTAAATAAAACTGTTGAGACAAAGCTTTTGCAATGCTTTCTTTTTTAGTTTGATTATTTTTTATGAATGAAGAAACTTTAACTTCTTTTGAAATATCGACCTCACAAAAATAATGGACATCGTTAAAAGTTATGTTTTCCCACCACACCGTGGGTTAACAACAATAAAAACAAATGCATTCGGAATTAATAAAATCACTTACAATAAGAATAAATATTTTCCAATTTATTTGTAACATTTTCTTCATTTTGTTGACATTTTCCCATCACAACATTAGTAGTTTTTAAAACTACCCAAGTCAATGCAACTGATTAACATTTAAATATTATTAATGATTTATCATACTGATAATATATTTTCTTGATATAAATTATCCATCATATATATAAAAATATATACATATAAAGTGGACGAAGAAGGAAGTAAATACCTTATTCGAAGATAAATTAAAAGAATCAAGTTCAAAATTCAATTATATTTTGAGGAATGACTTGAATAAATATATTATTTTATTTTCTTATAGCACACAGCACACACAATTTTGATATATTGTATGTACATATTTTGAAAGCGATAAGTGAAAAATCTAATCACTAAAAAAAAAAAGTCATAATTAAAACGACGTGAAAGGTATCGAATATCAGTAATTGTGTAATGTGTAAATTAAACAATTTAAAACAGTTTTCATGTTTTATTTATTTGTTATGGCACTCGTGTCAAAAAAAAAAAAAAAAAAAAAACGAAATTAATTAATATGGTTACATTTTTATTGAATATTGATGAAAATAAGAGAAAATATAAAAGAAAATTGTGTAAGAATTGGGTTACTAGATGTAAACAAATATTCAAATGTTAATTTAATTTATGAATTAATACCAATGAACCTAGAGACAAATGTATACAAAGTTAACACTTACGTGGTGATAACAAGGGACATATGATTGTTATCGATCGATCAAACATATTGTACGAGTGTCCACACATATTACGATTTGTCGTACGGTGGTACTTTATCTGTAGTATTTGATTCAGACTTCAGCAGAACAGCCACAGCAGAATTAAAAGGAAAGGACCAACCTACTAGGATCTAATTAGGGGGTATATGCATTTTAATTGACAACAACTTGACAATTATATTATTTACATCAAATATATAAAATTTAGATATTTTTTTATATTGAGTTTGAAATTAAATTAAATATGTACAATATTTAGTATCAATGTTCAACTGTTGTATTCATAAAATTATCGTATAAACGCAGTGTTTTCAAACACCGTTTAGCCCATCCTCATTTAAAACAACGTAAAATTTAAATTTTAGCGTTTTTATTATTTCAGTGTTCGTCCGCAAAAACGCTGGCTAGTTGGCGTTTTCCTTCGCGGATGGAACTGCGACGAATTACAACCCACTATGCAATCTAAATTACAAAACGTTGCTGCTATGTTAAGTTTCAATCACAATAAAATATTATTAAGTTATAATAATGCAATGTGTAATATAATTGCTCCTTAAAAATAATATCTAATATATCATCAAGTATCATTATATATATATAACATTATTGAAATCTTAAAAGTTTTAAATTTATGCAATGTTAAAAATTAATATTCATTCCATGTTCAATTATGGTTGTATTGAAATAATCTTGTTTACTCGTTAACACGCAGCTGTACTTGGCAATTATAATATTATCACTTTATTTATAATCTTACAAATATCCCTAAATAGTTATATCCCATTGTTTGTCAACAACCTAGTTCAACTTTTGAACTAGTTCGACTAAGGAAACGATAAGTCTCATTTTTAGGGATTTAAATTTAATTTTTAGGCTATGCTAGATTCGCCCGAAGTTCGTCAAACGCGCGTTCACGATTACTTAACAATTTCTATTGGGTGTAAATATGATACGCGCGTTCAGCGCAGCAATAAGGCGAGTAGATTGTCTTCACGCGTTAGTAAATGTCGTCAAGCCCGGATTAAGGGAGGGGGGCAAGGGGGGAGCATCCATAGGAATCATGTATATAAAGATCTCATAGTCTTCTCTGCTTGAAATTTGTGGTGATTTGTTCTTTTTATATTACAAATGAGAATATTTTAATTTAAATTTTTTTTCTTGTATGAACTAACGGGTGTTGGGACCCGTTACCCGCCTACCGTGTTCACCATCATGAGCACGGTAAGTGGGGGCACATGGCCAGATCTGTGTGTTTAGGGAAAAAAATATATTTTGTTATCATCGTGTTTAAAATACAACCTTAGAAGCATTTGCTACACAAAAAACGCAAATAAAAAGTGATGGAAGTGTTTCGCTACACTGTGTATGCTTTACGTAATTATTATTGCGGCGACATGAAAACTGTGATCAGTTCATGTCCGTCAGTAGTACAAAATGGATGTGATTACAATGTATAATTCGATTGAAGATGAAGCCGACAACGAGCTTTAATTACTGGTACGTTTTTATTTAGCGAGGGAAGCGGTAGAATGCACGGTGAACGAAATATGGAAAGCTGCATCGATAACGTTATTCAGAGACACTTGATTGATAATGAAACCGGATTCCTGGTTTATTCATATATTTATAATTCATTGAAAAAAAGACGAATTTTAAAATATTAAAATCTATTGTTCGGTGGTCCGTGTCAAGCGAATGTTCCTCTTCCGGTAACGGTGACCTGATTGACGCTGGTGAAATATTCATAAACATAAAATACGTGGTTTCTTACTGCCACGCATTCGCGATTGCATTGTGCGCGACCGCGCAAAAGTTGAAACGCCAAAAAACGGTGTTTGTGATTATAAATAATTCGCGGGCTACAAACATGCAGCAGTAGCCACGAGGGCAACATTTGCGCGAAACGCATTGCGTGACTATATTATTAATATAATATAAAAACTTATGTTTTATGATAAAATTTATTTGTTTTTTTTAAATTATGTTTCGATGTCAATTGGCCGCGTGATCTGAACAAAAGCGTTAAAACAACCCAATCTGCTCCGTTATCTCAAGATTTCTGTAAATGATTTTACTTGTTTATATTTACTTTACAATCAGCTTCTTCGTTTTACGACATTTCAACTTTTGCGTGATCGCGCGGACGCGCATCGCTCAAAACGGGTTCATAGGTTTCGCGCGATCGTAGGAAGCCGATGATTCAACGCGTAAAAAATCGGTAACCGGACGAGCCGCGCTGGTAACGATGTACTTTCGACACGCGCCAGCCCCGTAAACCGGTATATGGTAGATAACACGCGAACTGTTGGTCGGTGTCGATTCTACGTCGCTGCTACGGAAACCGTTGGCCGGCCACCACGAACGTGCGACTCGCAAACGATTAAAACTGACCGCGATCACCATTTTTTTAATTTCTCTTATATATATATATATATAGTTATAAATCGTAACACGTGAGACAGGGAATCACGTTAGCAATTACTGCCTCCCACGCGTCACATATCGTAAGGGCCGGATTTAGGAATGTGGGGGCCCTGGGCCAACCCTTAGAAGTAGATTTTTTTCGATTACACATATCTAATAACTAAAATTCCAAATATTCACAATTTCGGTTAGGAAAAAACAACGATTTGTTTTGATGAAACAATAAAGGCGGTAAATTAATTAAAATTTATACTTGTAAGCTCGCCATTAATTTTTACGCAATTATAATATATGAATATATTGTTAGTCATTAAATATTAATAATAACATTTATTAATAAAATCTATGACAAATATCAATGATTGAACATTTTTATTCGGGTTGTGATTTGAATCTATTTTGCAAATGTCGTACTGTGTTTTATATATGGATGCAAAATAAAACCACATTTAGTGGAGCCCCCCCCCCCCTAAATCTGGCCCTGCACATCGTTTATCGTCGATCGATAACGGTACGGATCGTTCGTTGCGCTTATCCCCAGACGATCGCCCCTTCTCGACTCACCTCGCTGTCCCGGTGTCTCCGCGTCGTTACCCGGCGGGAACATGTAGTCGCGCGGCACCATATTGGCCGCCTCGTCCACGGACACATTGCGCAGCCCGTTGGGGAAACGGTCCCACGTCCACTGGCAGTGCGGGTCCAACGTGCACGTGTCGTCCACGTACGACTTGATGCGCTGCATGGTCAGCAGGCTCATGTCGCCACTTGTCGGCGACGCGGCCGCAGCGGGCGTGCTGGCCACGGCGTACAGCAGCATCAGCGGCAGCAGCACCGGCGGCGCGGCCGCTGCGGTTCGGGTGGACGGTCGCGTTTTGTACGTGCTCGTCATCGTTGTCGTGTCCGCCGCACGTCTTATCACGCATCGAATGGTGGACGGTCGACCATCTGTGGACAATACGTGGTCACGTCATATGATTGTATGATGGACTACGGGTTCCAATGGAAAAAAAGTAAATACCGTTCAATGTGATGTAGGTAAAAAAATACATGCCCTTAAAATTATTTTTAACATTTATTTTTTTGTTTTCGAAATCATCGATTGTTGTTCGTCGGCTACTCGTATATATTTTTCTATCCTTTAAATTGTTTCCGAAATATGGAAATACAATTTGGACAGGTCGACAGCCGGTGTCACATTTTTCCGGTACAATCAGTAATAATAATACAGTAAAAAGTAAAAATAGAAGTCAGAATTGTTGCTAATGTGCGTGCTTGTAAAGTGACGGTTGAGACGAATACAATGATTACGAGTAATTTCAGAAATATATGTTTATAAAATGTAAAGGAAAATGCCTTTAAAACTTAAAAATATTTCAGTATTTAATTTCTTTTTTTCAGTACTTACTACTAAGTGTAAAACAATTTTTTTGTTTAAAAAGCAATGTTCAAGTACATTCGGAAAAAAGTATAATTTTCATTGAAAGTTGCACTCAACTCATATCATAATTATTCTCAATAATCAAGCGATGGTGAGGGATGCTTAAGATGGTGACTTAGTCCTCCGAACGTGTTTGATCCCCTAAAGAAAAATAATTAAATGCATATCCTATTATAATTCTCATGCGCTACTAGATGACCATAATCTTCTTTTCATCAGCCACCGAGTGTCTTTTGTGTGTACGGCGGGAACTAAACAAAGATAATTTTTTTCTCGATCTAACGTCACTGTTTTTGATAATGACCACGAGTATATTCAAATAGCGTTTAATTATAATATTAATAATAGTTATTAAAAGAACATGGTCGAATCAAAATAATCGATCTGGAAAGTCATCGATCATTTTGATATAATAAGGGACAATGCTCGTGAGAAAATGTTAAAATGTTAAGATTGGACGATTATCTGTACACAACTTTGATTCCAGGAGAAATTTTTACTCTAGTTTTGTAAAAATATTTGTGTTGATATTTGTGTTGTAACTATTGTTACAAATAGTTGCGGCGTAATATTATTTTTCGTAACATCGATTTTGAATAAACATTACTCGGTAGGGTCATGCGAATGAGATGTTAAAGATTATTTGACCGAAATCAGAATAAGGAAATTTGAATTTTTTACCACGTTAAACACTGTTCTTAATTTTTTTATTTTCAACGATCAATCTATCGGAAAGTAAAAACTGAATAAAATGTTACAAGTGTAGACTTGTTTCATCAAATTGTGGATAAAAAAAAACCTTAGCAACATAATTTTATTTTTCCAAAAGTTAGAAACTGAAATTGGAGTTGAAAAGAACTTATCAAACAAAAAAACAAAAATGTAATCTTATCAAAAAGACCTGATAATTTTTACTTTTTTATTTCCAAACATTTATTGTTATATTTCTAAATACCTGTATAAAACCGATATTTATTCACATATTTATAAATATTTTTTCACATATATAAATATAAATCTCTAATAAAATAATTTATGAAGAATAAAAAATACCTGGAGATAAACAAGCCCAGTGCCGAGTTAAGATATGTAGCTTAACTAAACTAACCTAACCCGCCCCAGGGCAAATTAAAATATGCCACCATTAAGAAAATTACGATTCAAAATTATATACACCTCACTATTAATTACAGTCAGTAGCGTATTAACGGGTAGAATAGAAGTATACTATGCAAGAGCAATACATTTACAAATTAGGTACTAATATCTATATTATGTATATTTTAAATATCATATTTTTACTTATATTTAAATTTTATAATTATTAATTATACCTCACATATAAACTGAAAAAATTACCAAATATGACAAAATATAATCAGCTAGAACAATTTTTTAATTCTTATCGCCTTGTATATGCAGCGGTAGTAGACTGCGGCTTCTTCGTGGTATTTATGAACAAAATAATATGTATTATAGTTATACAGTCATACAAGAAAAATCATAATTATATAGTTTATATTTTATGTTGATCCTTAAAAATTTGCCGTCCCGGGGCGATTGTCTCCCCCTTAACCCCCGCTAAACGCGGCTTTGAACAAGCCCTATAAAATTTATAAAAAAAAAACTTCGTAATCAATTCTATAATCATGTTAATTTTTAGAGGAGTATTGAACATACTTCGAAATTTACCAAATACTATTATAGATAAAGATAATAAATTATAATTAACGACTTTAATACGACCGATATCTTCTATGATCGTAGAACGAAAGTTTTCCTCAGTTCAAGATCATATTTATTGAAAACTAGCGTTCATTATTATTAAAAAATGTATCGGAGTCATTAATTATATCCAATGTAACGATCAAGGTTGTACGATAAAAAAAGAATATGTTTTATCATATGCATGATTTCTTGTTCTTGTTCATCCCTTTGTATTGGAATACGTGAAAATGAATAAAACACAATTTGCAATGTAATCAGCAACAGCTAGTGATTATTATACAGTGCTGCGTTCGCTTGAAAACGAGCTACAAGTCTAAAACGTTTAGTTATACTATTTATTTTATAACATTTTATAAAATTAGAAAATACCTTAGGTAAACTATGTTCTTTTAAATATTTAAGTTTTCAATTTCAACTACTTAGGTAAAAATAAAAAAAAAAACGCTACATGGTACCTTAGTACCATAAGTATCATAAGTTTTGAGTTGTGACAGTATTATTCTGGGTGCGCAATAAGCTCATTAAAAAATTCAGTATAATTCAGTTATTCAACTCCGTGTCTTAGTACCTTTGTATTTGCTACCACTTTTAATTGTTCAATTTATGATTTAATACAAAATTAATTTTATTTTAATTGTTTAATGAATCATATTTATGCATTATCAAACTTATTTCGATTTTAGTGTATCCGAATAATTTACTTAGAATATTTTGCATAATTCATGCGTCCTTAAATTGAAACATATATTATTTTGAGTACTAATTATCACATACGTTCGTATGCAGTAATTTGCAACCGTGCCTTAAGTAAATTTATTCAGAATTTTAAAAATTTAATGATCTTTGTTTTATTGTCATAGTAGTAGATATATTAGAAATAATATTACCATTCAATTTTGTCGTGTGTAAATCTTCATCGTGTATAAAACGTTGTCCGTAAATGATAATTATTATTATTAAATATCGTGTTTGCGATGATCCCTATTATGTTGTATTATAATTTTATAATTTTTTTTTTTTTTTACTTTTTGTGCATACTAATTATTGCAATATGAATTTTTTTGAGTTTGTGCTGATCGCTACAATTTTTATTTCCAGTGACAGCGCTAGAATTTGCAAGGCCCTGGTCAAAATTAATGTTTAGTCCATTTCTATTAATAAAATATTTTAAGTTCAGTTAAATCTGAGCACAGTTAAAAACTATTTCAGAATCGCAGGGCCTTAATTATAATTTAAGGCGTGGGACCCTGGCCAACTGCCCCTATCCTCCCCTTCACACAGTCCCTGGTTACTCCAATTTTTAACCTTTTTACTATTTTTGAGTCTTACGCTTACCTCCTAATATGTAGTTATATTTTTGAAGTTGTTATATTGTGAATTTTCAGTATTTGTGCATATTTTCATTTAAGAATAGGGAATTACGACTGGGCAGTTTCCTCTCAACAAGATTATTTTATTAAACATTATATTTTTATATAATTATTTATTATTATAATTAATTTGACCCAAAAGGGTTGTATTATATTCATGATTACATTTACAATGTTGTAAAGTATTTGAATAAAAATAATCAAATAATTGTTTAAGTATTTGAACGGTATTTTAAATTTTTTTTTTTTTTGATTTCTTATCATATTTTTAAACGTGGCTTGGACGACGAGACGATCGCACCCTCTACTAATATTTACAAAAAGAAGATAATTTTTATTGTAATAATAGTTTAACTATTAATAATTTATTAAAATTAAAATACTAAATTAGTCATTTTCAAATAATCAAAATAATCAATTTATAAATGTCGTCGATCGCAGCGTTTAACATAAGTATGCTATAAGTATGAACGCGTATCGTACGCCGCACGCGTGTCTACCTATCACTGCTGAGTGCAGAGCGACAGACACCGCCCGTCGCTTTCGGACGAAAATTGTCGTCGCACAGGCTACTTTATTCGATATTGTATTTATCGTGTTAAAGCGTATGGACGATACACCGCGTCGTCCAAACATATCAAATACCGATGATAATTTTTGCCGAACTAATCTGAACAGTGTACCCACGGATTACGGTTTACGATTATGAGATGAGCAATTTTATTGTTGTCGATCATGTGAGTGTCTTACTGATTCGCGTGCGTTTTAAACCGCGATCGTACGCTAGCATTTGGACAATAATAAAATAATAATATCAAAAATAAATTGTACAGGAACAAACAGAAACTGTTTTATATCGTCGCATTCTCTTCATCAGTAACCACGAGCCGCCGCTGGATATACACGTATATACATTGTTACCGAGTACTGTGACTAGATTGCGTAGGTTGCACATAATACCGGCTATACGAATTGATAACTGTATTTTATTTTTGTTTTTCGTAATTTAATATACGAAAGACGAAAATATAGTTATTAATACCTACTTAAGTGGTTTAGAGGGGCATTCTGGTTATTGGCTAATGGCTTATTGCTCACTATTTACTAGGAAAATGTCAATGATTATTATTATTTATGACGATGGCTCGTGAGTGTACGAAACGTCAAAATAATATAGTCTGTATTAGTTTATTTTTCACTATTCGTATTCGTAATCGTGATTTGCGTTTAGTCTTTAGTGTTATTACATGTTATTAATCTAACTATTGACAAATGTACCTACACGTGCACACTACGAAATTTATTAAGTTACTATTTGCTATTTTCATATTTGAAATCAATTTCAATTGTTTTAAATTTAAAAATTAGTGATCTTGATACTCCCATCGAAATAGATCAATCTACAGAGT